TGTATACAGTGTGAGGAGGATGTATACAGTGTGAGGAGGATGTATACAGTGTGAGGAGGATGTATACAGTGTGAGGAGGATGTATACAGTGTGAGAATGGTCGCACATTAGCCGTTGAACTGCAAAGACAGAAGATGAGTTTAAAAACCTCAGTCTTCATTCAGTCTTTAACCCGGTTTAATGAACAGGTACGATAACTATCGACATCGACTGATACAACATTTTAATCTTGATATAGTTTTTTTTATAGTAAGCTCTTAAATATACTGTGATAAACTGTATATTTCAGGGTGTAGTTCATCGATACCATGTTGGACCTTTGCAGTATTATCATTGTTGTTAAATAATTGTTTAAAGACGTTTTATATATTCATATGGCTTAAATTGCTTATGCGTGTTTTGTGGGGAAGAGTTTTATCAGCCACAGAGTCACAGTCAGACTTAGGAATCTGATGTTAAACACAGGTGAGGGGAGTTGGGCTTGAAATTTCTCACTGTGTCAAGAGAAACTGTGGGGCCGTCATCACCCACAGTGACTAGAGAATAAAAGAGTTACACAAATCTGAATTTTAAACGACTGGTGTCGCCGGAACGTTCCGTGTTTTTAGTACAGAAGTCACTGTCTCTCCACTCCAGCTCAGCAAAAGAACACTGTGACACTCAAAGAGAGAATTTCATAATTCAGAAGAGGAGATTGGGTAATTTCCATTCAGTGAATTTACATACAAGACTCAAGATCAATCTGCTCTTCTTTAAATCTCACATCAGTGTAACTTGTACAACAACAGCTCCAGAGTAATTATTTAAATGTTCTGGGGGGGGGGGGGGTTGTTGCCCCTGTAATTGTCATAAACTGAATATTGTCGTCTATTCTCTTTCACCAGGGCACGAGAATTTGTTTTGCATGTGAGAACAAGTGTCTGCCGAGCCAACGATGGTGAACAACATTGAAATGGATATTGAAAACAATATGGTGAGTATGAGAAAACAGTTGCTCTTTCAGCATCTGTGTGTTGGGTAATGATTAGCCAACATTTGAGTGTTTCAGTGCCACATTACCGTCAGTGTGTCTTAGGTTACTTTGGCTTTATTTCTTTCACATATTAAGTTCTCTGAAGGAAGAAGAGATGTCAGAACAAAGTAGAAATATGAACGTGAGAGTTCTGTCTTTGCTCTCACTAAATATAGGTGTGGTCTCTGGTGCATTCAAGGGGTCAAAGTACTTTTTACTTTTGTCACTGTCTGCTCAGCAATTCTTGTCCTGTGTTTATACCACAACAGTTGTGTATGTACAGCACAACAATAACTCTCAGTGTGTGTGTGGGTGTGTGGGGGGGTCGTTCAGGTCACTATGAGGCTATAAAGGACGTTTAACACATTTTGTTTTACCGTCACAGAATCACCGCTCCCAACAAACAGTCAACTTACACTGATTCAGTGAAGTACTCCGTGTCTTTTGTGTCCTTGTTCCGAACGTTGGCCTTATTCCCAGGACTGAGCTACAATGCGGCAAACCACACAGTGAGGTCATTTTGTACAACAGCCTGTTTATAAAAGCTGTAGCAGCTTTCACTATTCAGATCAGTCCCTGGAGATGCCTCCTGTTTTCATTTCTCTGAACCTGATGGGATGGCTTCATGTCTCGACTCGCCTGATGGCCCGACAGTTACAGTTCACAGAGTCTCCTTGGATTTTCAGTTTATTCTTTTTCCTGACTGAACAGATCCTCGGGGTGGGCGGGAATGAGCTCAGTGTTGTTATCTGTGAAGGAACTGGTGTAGTGAGTGTAAATGCCAGTTGAGCTCTGAACGGCCGACACAGATTATATTATGAAATCAGCTGCCAACAGCTAAAACTAGAAGTTCACTCAAAGAGCTCATACCTCAAGAGACCACATGAAATTCACTAGATCCGTATTTTTATTTGGATTTGCAGCCACACTCAAAAATATCCGTCCCCTAAAAACGCCTGATGATCTTCATCAAGATCGATGAATTATTCTCGGAGAAATCAACATGTTGACATAACGCCATGGATCGTAACGTTTAAGTGTGAACATTTTTTTCCTGGATTTTGCCTCTGGATCCGGATCCGCATTAAAATTGAATCGGTTCTTCCCTCATGAAATACTTGGTCAACAGGCTTGATCTTGTTGATTCTGAAAATTCCTGGTGTTATTTTTGCTATGCATACTCTTCACTCTCA